CGTTTATTCAACGTCATGCCTTTTGACCTTTGCAAGTATTTAAATGCGAATGTCCGCTCCTGAGTGAAGACATAGCTCTAGCATCGATCAATTCCTTAAGCTTCCTATTTTTCAACATCGCAACCATAGTGGCAGTAAACTTCCTTCGTCTCGCTGCCATGTCGCAGGCGGCAAACGCGGCTATGGTTTATCTTGCCAGTGACTCGACAATGTGTAACGGGTGCCGCCGTTACAGTACATGTGGTATATAAAGCGTGTTACGTGTATTCCGGGCGAGCCGGAATACTGTAGTCTTTTTGGCTCAGTGGGATGCAGCGCGAGAATAACCGTACATCATTACAAGATTATTCCGGCTCCCCGGTCAATGGGTTTTGATTGGCTCGCTAGTTGGGTGGGCTAAGCGAGCAATCAGTGTAATTCCTTACCTGGCTGACAAGGGGGCGTCCTTGGGGGCTTAAGCTATTATATACACACCTTAGCATCCTGAGTAGTAACAGGCCTAGAAGCAAGTACGAGATGATACGCTAGAAGCCTCTACATCCGTGCCAGGACGTCACGGACTAAGGGGGGGGGTAAATTGTAACTGGTGCTGCCGTTACAGTATATGTGGTATATAAAGCGTGTTACGCGTATTCCGGGCGAGCCGGAATACTGTAGTCTTTTTGGCTTAGTAGGATGTAGCGCGAGCGTAACTGTACATCATTACACAATGGCTAGGAACGGTGGTGGAAGTGGAGCGGGAACAGATGGTTTGGCCCCGTCATTCTTTGCAAAAAACCTCGCCGACTCGTTATCCATGCTGGTAGTTAATTATGCTATTGGAGGGCAATCTACTCGAAGCTTTACGAGAGAAGGCCGCTTAGATACAATCATCAACACCGTGGTATGTGGTGACATAGTCAGGCTTGCAAACAAATAAATCAAATCAAATCGAGCCTCCGATTTGATTTGATTTGGATACAAAAATGTTTGATTTGATTTGATTTGATTTGATTTGATTTGGGCCCATTTGGATCTATTTGGATATCTGGATGACTCCACTTTTTTCCCACAATGATACACATTGAGCTGCCCTAATAATATCCGCTCGGAGCCGGCCTCTTTGAGCTGTAACCATCTGTCCTGCAAGACTGAATATCCTCTCCAGCTCAGAAGATATCGCGGGAATTGAGAAAAGATCAATAGCCATCTATGACAGACGTGGATACTGCCGTCTCCGGAGAAGCTAATACTAAGTCGGATTATCCACTAAACAATCACCCGGGTCAGTAGTAGCCAGCCACTCTATGTACTCATCGCGCGTAGCTAATGGTAAAGGTGCACGCTAAGTGCTAAGCTTCCTAATTAAGGCCATAAAGTCATCTAGGTCGGTTGTCTTCCTTGCAAGAGTGGGTTGCTTAGGTATCGCATCCTGCTTAACAGCTAGGAGGTTCCGATACTCCTCCTACAGCTCTTGTATAGCTGCCTTTCCTCTCACTAGCCATTCTAGATGATCAGCCCATTGCGACTCGACAGTTGACTAGCGAAAGGCAGGGTGGAAGACAAGGGCTGCGAGATATGCAGGGCTATCTTTGGTAAGGGTGTAGTATTAGTCTAGCTTCATCTAGCCGAGGTTGCAACCAATCTGCAGGTGTGGTTCTTCGTCTTGCTCATGTTGTACCTTAGACTCTTCTAGATGCTTTAGAAGCCACTCCATTGTTAGCAAAACCTCCTAGATCGCACCGAATTTACCTAAAACTTGTAAGCATAGGCTGTGCGTTAGAAGGCTAGATTCAGCTCACCTTCCTTAGGTCAACCTTCTAGGTGCTTAGTAGCTATCTTTAATGGCTTTAATATAGCTAGATACTCTGTAATCACAGACTAGTCCTTAGCAGACATCTTATTATCAACAATCGCTAGCTTCATTCAGCTCTTCTTAGGCATCAGCTTTGTCCCGTTTTGAGTCCTCCTAGCTACGTAGTAGATCCATTCTATAGCTTCTGCCTCGATTCTTTTCAGCATAGATGCTAACACCTTCGAAGAGGACTGCCAAGCTGACAAAGAGGTCTAAGACGAGATAAGTCTCTAGAGGTCGAAAGGCCTAATTAGCAACCTGCACAATATTATTGTTCACTAGGTGCAAAGATCTAGCTAGCGGATTAAGAGGCTCTATAAGCTCTAGTTAATTGAAAACACAGCCTTGAACCTTAAAGACAAAACAACCTACAATGTAGTCACAGACAATGCTACCTGCTAGAACTCGTCTAAGGCAATGATGGAGCAAGGCTACCTGCTTCGAAATGCACTTGATTCTCTAGTCTAGATCAGGCCATAAGGTTGATAATGTGCCTATAGCAACGAAGTCACCTATGCTACTTGTTAAAGCCAAGCTCAATACCTAGGTCTTTAATACACGTGTCATTGCTCTCTGCATTGTCTGTAACAAGGTACCTAATGTGATCCTCAAACCCATATTCGTTAATCTGCAAGGTTCTCGCCACTATGACAACCCTCGATTGTAGTAAGCCTAGAAGGAATGTGCAAAACTTCCCTTTGTCATCAAGAAAGTGTACGGTAAGGCCAAGCAGGGAGATAAACCTACGACATGACCACGCATCAAAGGAGACGTTAATGCAGCTAAGTAAGCGACTGAGCAGCTCTGTCACAATGCCCTTGTGATGATTAAAGGACCATATAATCCATTCATAGATCGTGCTATAGGTAGGGAGGCCTTAATAATAGCGCTGTTTGCATACCCTATAAGATCGCGAAAGTATAGACTCTTAAGCTTATGAAATGGGATATTGTTGCAGGCCACCTAGCATATAACCAATTGCTAAAAGCAGATAGGATCGAATGATGCTATGAAGGCGTTCATTAAGGCTTAGTCCTTAGGCTAGTGGGAGTCTAGGTCAACCATGTCGAAGAGAGTGCGCTGTTTCTTCCTCTACGGTAGCATTAGTCCATCCTTGTTAATGCGGTAGATATCTTCCATATGACTGTTTCCTTGGCTTGTAGATGTAGCGTCATACATATAAGTGATAATAGCCTTCTTCTAGTAACACTCTTGCAAAGCTAGAATCAGTAACTAGAGCCGTCTTTCTGGACATCGAATCCATGCTCCCATACCCATCCTGTCCGCGGCCTTCTTCTATGTTTGCGGATATAATACCGTAAAAGGCGATTCTAATCAATGCCTTCGTAACCAGTGTAGTCGACTAACAACGATATGTTAGCTAGAGCCTCTCCATTAAGCTCTGATGAATTGAAGTCGGCGGAGCCGTTAAGGCCACTATAAGCAGTAGAAGGGATAATGGAAAGCGCTGTTGACGGTCCGTTAGAGTTTAGAGATTGCGCCATGCTAAATAAGGTGGTAGTAAGGGCTGTCAAAAGGCGAAAATCGGCCACAATGCTCGCTAGCTAGAGCAGCCATTGAAATAGCGGGATGAATTGTAATTGTCCACCATAGGCTCAATATATATTTCCATTGTTATTACGACTGGTAAAAAGTTCTGCGACGTGGTATGCAAAAAAGCAAAGCCATGTACACTGTACAGACTGGCTGGCTCAACAGGGTAGATTGTGGACTGTGATTGGACTAGGCCACAGCCGCGGGGCTTATCTAAATAACCAGATATCCAAATAAATCCGAGCTTCGCAATTTGATTTGATTTGGATAAAATTTACCCCAATTTGATTTGATTTGATTTGGATAGATTTGAATTTGAATTATTTGTCTGCAACCCTGGACATAGTCGTCATCGAGTTTGGCCACAATGATGGGGGAAGCTTGTCAACAGACAACGGCCGAACGGATTGCGGCGGAACAGGAGACGAGACCTGCCAGACGGTTTACAAGTATGTTTGAATATCTTACAAGACTACAGACAATGCACGAACATCCGCTTCCAGTGGCGTTGCGGAGACCGTCTTGACCTTCCCCAGATACCTCGATAACGCCGCCAATTCTACAAAGCAAAGGGTGCTTCTGTCATAATATCGTCTCAGACCCCCAACAACCCTTACGAGTCGGGCACTTTCGTGTACAGCGGATCTAGATTTGTCGAAATGGCAGCGCTAGCAGCCAGCAACGCTGGTGTACGGACAGTACACAGCGAATGCCAGTGGCGGTGAATGCTTACTTCCCGAATGACCACACTCACACCAGCAATGCTGGCGCCCTCGCTGTCGCCGACGCGTTTGTTAGAGGTGTTCTTTGCGGCAAGACCGCTCTTACGGAATTCACAAACACGAACGTTGCGGTAACTGTGTTTAAGCTGAGCGGCATTCGTTGTAGCTCAAAGTTTATGTATATGCGTGCAATTTAGTATATATATTCGAGAGGCTTTTCTTAAATACCAAAGATTTACCAACACACCCACGGCCATATTTCCCTATGACTATGAGACTATTTATACTAGCAAATCATAATATGCCATTGGTCTATATCCTAATACTCTGGTAACCTTAACATGACGGCGTGGTAAATTGTTATTAGTGCTGGTTTATTATATTTTAAGTGAGAATTAAACAGTTTTATATTACTTAAAATAGAGCACCCGAAGAATTATTTTTACCTACTGATGCTCTTAAAATCTCTAAAATATAGCAGCTTATTATGATAGACTGCAACGCTTTGATTATATAATTATATCTTACTAAAGTATTTTTACTATGTACTCCGTAGAGCGATTTTGTTAGATCAGCCCATCTTCCCAGGCACAATTCGAGAACCATGGTGTTGTTTGGTACGTACTTATTTAGTGGCAGGGGTGTTCTTTGCACCGACCAATCAGCTACTTCATTATGGCGTATGGCATATCTTCGACCACCCCCTGCACTTTTAATTCTCGTTCCCCACCTTGGACATCTAGACATTTCCTCACTTTCGCCTCTCTTGAACAGAACTTGGACAGAACATGAATGGAGCGCTATAGACTTATCTTATATCATTTATTCTTCATGTATCCCACCCACTTACTTGCTTATACTATAGCTTATTGCATGGCACACGTCTAAAGATGAAGTTTGCGAAAGAGCTCGAGCAGGACCTTGTTCCAGGTTAGACAATCAGTGTAACCCTTCGTTGAAACGCCGTGCTCACATGCCTCCCCTAGAATGGCGAGTCAAATACCTTGACTACAAGGCCGGCAAGAAGCGAGTGAAGGCCGTTGGTCGAGCTGTCGCACGCGCAAACGCAAACGCAACTCCTAGATCCGGCAAACTCAACCCGCGCGATCTCTATCGAAGCAATGGCTCTCCGACCCTGACTAGGAAGGCAGCGCTTCCTGCGCCTCAGCGTCAGCTTACAACGCATGGATACAACTCCTTGCCTGAGCGACGTGGCACAGCATCGCGCCCCACCTCCGACGAGACCGACCAACTCACAAAACCCATCCTGATAAACAGGCGGAATGGAAAAGAGGCAGAGAGCCCAGAGAGCACACAATTGCAGTATGGAAGCTTTGTACCCACGCCACCTAGCGACTATGGTCTCATACATCTCGAGTTACCAGACCCGGCGCTGAGCACTGGAATCGACAATAGTCCACCAGAAAGAGCCACGGACAAGACATCTAGATCGCAGCATCGGGGTAGCGTGTCGGACAAGGCACCACCGGGTCCACAAAATGCGCATACCGTTGTGGAAAGGGGTACGGCACCCAAACGACCAGCCATTGCGGACATGTTCAATCGCGGGAGTTCGATGACCATAACTGGGAGCGCAGCGAATATCTCAAGCCCTGGGGACCCAAAGCCGCTACTGAAACGAATCTGGTCGCGTTCTGGGGCGAAACGTGATGAAGTAGCGCTGGATGTCAATATGAACCCCCTGGACTATGTGAAGGCGAAGGAAAAGGAATTCTTCGACTGGATGGATGGGCAGCTGGACAAAGTTGAAACCTTCTACAAGGAGAAAGAAGACGAATCAGAGGAAAGACTGAATGTCCTGAGGGGACAACTATACGAGATGAGGAATCGTCGCATTGAAGAGATTTCAAATTTCAGGACAGTAAAGCGGGCTGGTAGAGGTGAGGCAGGCAAGTCGATTGATGACATCCCCGGCAACCCTAGCCCCTCGAGTGGGAGTGGCACCCCTCCGCCCAACCAGAATATATTGAAGAGACCTGTTACGAAGGCTTTGGATAGTCTAAAGTTTGGGCAAAGACTTGGCCTAAACTCGAAGGCGCTGCGCGATATGCACCTCACGCCAAACCTCCGACCGTCAGAGGGAACGCAAGTAGCTCGTGGGACGGATCCTTCTCAAGACTATGTCCGGAGAGCTCATGAACATGAAGTCCCGTATAGATCTGCGAAAAGGAAGCTTAAGCTTGCCCTGAAGGAGTATTATCGTGGCCTTGAGCTTTTAAAATCATATGCCTTGCTGAACCGAACTGCGTTCCGGAAGATCAACAAAAAGTACGACAAGGCAGCAAACGCCCATCCACCCTTGCGTTACATGTCGGACAAGGTCAACAAGGCCTGGTTCGTCCAAAGCAGCGTCGTCGATAGCCACCTTCACGCCGTCGAAGACCTCTATGCTCGTTACTTCGAGCGCGGGAACCACAAAGTGGCCATGGGCAAGCTGCGCAGCGCAAATGGGAAGCTGGGACAACATACGGCCAGTGCCTTCCGCAGCGGCCTCCTTATTGGAACTGGTGCGGTCTTTGGAATCCAGGGGGTCGTCAACGCTGCCGCCATCCTTCGGAATCATTCCGACCCGGTAATCCATCTACGCACTGGTTATCTACTTCAGATATATGGGGGATACTTCCTCGCTTTATATTTGTTTTCATTTTTCTGCCTTGACTGCAGCGTCTGGGCTGCTAACAAAATCAACTACGTATTTATTTTCGAGTTTGATCCGCGCAACAATCTCGACTGGAGGCAACTGGCAGAGTTCCCTTCATTCCTCACACTGCTGCTTGGATTATTTGTTTGGCTAAATTTCTCGGCTGTCGGCAGTCCCGACATGTATCTGTATTACCCTGTCATTTTAATTTTTCTTACTTTGGTTTTTATCTTTTTGCCTGCACCGATACTGTTTAATCAGAGTCGGAGATGGTTTGCATATGCACATGTGAGTTATCTGGCATCGAATTACCGGGAGAAATGCTAACTTGAAGCAGTGGCGTTTACTTCTTGCCGGATTATACCCCGTTGAATTTCGAGATTTCTTTCTAGGAGATATGTACTGTTCCTTGACATATGTTACGGCTGTTAGTATACCCTTCACCATTCGTTGCAATCGATACACTGACAATCGTCTAGAATATTGAGCTTTTCTTTTGCCTTTATGCGAATCACTGGTCTGACCCGCCACAATGCAACTCTGGGAATTCCCGCCTCCTCGGATTTTTCACGGCGCTTCCGGGAATTTGGCGTGCTCTGCAATGCCTTCGTCGATACTACGATACTCGGTCTGCGTTTCCCCATCTTGCCAATTTTGGCAAATACAGCACAACAATCCTTTACTACATCACACTGTCTCTGTACCGTATCAAGGAGTCCAATACGCACCTGGCCGTTTTCATCACTATCGCCGTTGTCAACTCCATCTACTCTACGCTCTGGGATCTCTTCATGGATTGGTCTCTGATACAGCCCTCTGCGAAACATAAGTTCCTTAGACCAGTCCTGGGGTACAAGTCACCATGGTACTACTACTCAGCCATAGTCTTTGACGTTCTTCTCCGCTTCAACTGGATCTTCTACGCTTTATTCACGCACAACACACAGCACAGCACCATCGCATCCTTCTCCATCTCATTCTCGGAAGCAAATCGCCGCGGTGTCTGGGCGCTGTTCCGTGTTGAGAACGAACACGCAGCCAACGTGATGCGGTTTAAAGCCTCGCGCGACGTACCGCTTCCTTACAAGTTGCACGACACAGACGAGACATCAGCCTCGGAGTCGATGGTTCGGCCAATTGGCGAGGACGGTGAGAACGCCGAGATGGCGAAGGTGCACTCGGGCAGCTTGCGACCCACTCCTAGCCCGGGACAGAGCCGATTCCGCGCGCGCACGTCGTCATCGGCTAGGGCAGAGGAGCAGGGGCCTGACACATTAAGGCGACGAATGACAATTACGAAGATCATGGCGGAGGCACACACGCAGGATTTCGTGAAGAAGAAGGGCAAGGAAGAGGTAGCGGGCGCGGCTGCCACGAGGGAAGAGGATAGCTGGGAGAGGGAGAGCAGTGATGACGATGAGGATGATGGCAGCCCGAGCGAGGGGAGGGAGGATGAGGAGCTGACGAGGCAAAGAGACGGAGCAGGTCGACAGGCACGGCGAAATGCAGGGAGAGGGGGACTATAAGAGATACTATAGATGCCTGATAGGCTTGGCCCTAATCCTTTTCCAATTTTGGATACACAGCCCTTGGGACTAGGCGCATGCAGTGAGCATGCTGTAACAATGCAACGCTTTTATTACCCCGAATTCCCGGGATGATACGAAGACGCGCTGTGCCCCAATTGTGCCTGGATTAGGCCACAAAATGTCAGAATGACATCGCAGGAGGGAACGTGTTTCGTTGCGGAGGCGCCAATTATCGGCCTGTCCGATGGAGGAGTGCGGGGCATGTCGTGGCTCCCCTATCCAACGCAACTGATTGGTCCGTGGGAATATCTTCAGCAATGTAGCCCACCATCAGCTCTCCCACTCAGCTTCTTCGTATTTCAGCTGCGTACAGCCTCTATATCTATATATATATGTGTGTATTTCGGGATATATATTATAGGCTTCCTTTCTTACTTCTTGCTTTACTATATCATCATTATCTCCCTCGGTGCGTCTCTTGCCTTCTGTTTTGTATGTACCACAGATCCACACATATCATATCCCCTTCCATCCAACTATCCGTCCTCTTCCGCCTTTCGTAATGGTCTCCATAGCTGAAAAACACACGTCTCTTCGCGGCGAAATCGAAGGCGCCTTGGGCCAGGTATCCGCCGTCGTCAATGCCTCCCTTGGCCCTGTCAATGCCGCCTACCCTCACAGACCCACGAATGAGCCCCTCAAAATTGATGGCTCGAAACGTGCCGACTTGGGGAAGGTAGAGCCTGAAGATATCCAGGCTCTCCTCGAATCCTTTCATGACCAGGCACATGGCGTGCAGGATGACAGCACTCTCCTCCTCGAGCGTCTCGTAACAGGCCTGTCGCACCTGCCGGAGGACTCGAAGACAGGAAAGCATCTCACAGACAACTTTGTGAATACTCTGTGGGATGCCCTGCCGCACCCGCCTCTTTCGTCACTAGGGAACCAATATAAATACCGAGAGGCCGATGGCCGTAATAACAATATCAGCCATCCAAGTCTTGGACAGGCGGGCAGTCACTACGCTCGGTCTGTGAAGCCCGTGATCCTGCAAAATATCCAACTCCCAGACCCAGGGGATATCTTTGATGAGCTCATGGACCGCGGGGATGCCTTTGAGGAGCACCCAAACAAAATTAGCAGCGTTCTGTTCTACATGGCCGCCATTATCACCCACGACATATTCTGTACTAATAGCAAAGACAACACCATCTCAAATACGAGTTCGTATCTGGACCTCAGCCCATTGTATGGGAAAAACGGAGAAGAACAGAAGCTGATTCGCACGTTCAAGGATGGAAAGCTGAAGCCGGACTGCTTTTCTGAGAAAAGGACATTGGGCCTGCCACCGGGAGTCGGAGTCATATTGATTATGTTCAACAGGTTCCATAATAAGACTGCGACGATGCTGGCATTGTGAGCTTCTTCGTTGCATCACCGTGGTAGATAGAGCTGACATGACTAGGATCAACGAGAATGGCCGATTTACAAAGCCAAAAGACGATGACACGAGCAAATGGGCAAAGTATGATGAAGACCTATTCCAGACGTCGAGGCTCATTACCTGCGGGTTGTATGTCAACATCATTGTGAAAGATTATGTTCGCACGATTCTGTCGTTGAATCGCACATCGTCCACATGGGCCCTGGATCCACGATCCGTCAGCACAAAGACTATGTTCAATGTTCCCGCTCCAGAAGGGATGGGCAATAGCGTTTCCGCCGAGTTTAATCTCATTTACCGCTGGCACTCGGCCATCTCGGAACGGGATGATAAATGGATCCAGCAAGAGTACGAAAGGATTTTCCCAGGAAAAAACCACAAGGACATGCCAATCCATGAACTAATGGGAGGGCTTGGGAAGGTCGTTGCTGGCCTGCCGGAAGATCCACTGGAGCGTCCATTTGGTGGACTGAAACGCAACGAGGATGGAACGTTGCCCGAAGAGGGCCTCGTGGAGATTCTTACGTCGTCGATTTTGGATGTCGCTGGCTCATTCGGGGCCAACAGAGTGCCTACCATTATGAGAAGTATCGAAATCCTTGGGATAATGCAGGCCCGCCAGTGGAACTTGGCAAGCCTCAACGAGTTCCGTCTATTTTTCGGCTTGAAGGCGCATGAGACATTCGAGGAAATCAACCCAGACCCTATAGTAGCCAAGAAACTCAAGAATCTGTACGACTCGCCCGACTTCGTTGAGCTCTATCCTGGCCTTACGGCCGAGAAAGCCAAGCCTCCTCAGGCACCTGGGTCCGGCCTATGCGTCAACTACACCATTAGCCGGGCTATCCTATCTGATGCGGTCTCCCTTGTTCGCGGAGATCGCTTCTACACAACTGATTTCAATGGAAGATCCCTGACAAACTGGGGATTCACAGCCTGCAACTTTGATACGAAAGTTGACCAAGGATGTGTCATGTACAAGCTGATCCTTGGTGCCTTCCCGGGTGCCTTCAAAGGAAACTCCATCTACGCCCACTTTCCATTCGTCACGCCAGCTGAGAATCTTGTTATCCAAACGAATCTCGGCACAGCAAAACTGTACGACTGGAATCCCCCGAAGGTCACACCAGAGGTTATTTCCATTGATAGCTATGATGCGGTGTTAAAGATCCTGAATGATAAGACCAACTGGAAGGTCACTTGGGGAGACTCGATCGAGTTCCTTGTCTCCCAGCCTAATGAATGGTACGGCGGCACTTACTGCCTCGCTGGTGACGACGAGGCGAACGAGGAATCGCGGAAACTTGTCATGAAGGCCCTGTATCCTAACGACTGGAAGAAGGAAGTCAAGGCCTTCTACCAAGACATCACCGAGAAGCTTCTCAAAAAATACACGTACCAGATAGGCGGTGCGAATTGCGTCGACATTACGAGAGACGTGGGCAACTTGGCACATGCGCACTTCTCAGCGAGCCTGTTCTCGCTGCCGTTAAAGACAGAAGACAACCCCCGCGGTATCTACACGGAGCAAGAACTCAGTATGATCCTGTCTCTCCTTTTCTTCGCCATCTTCTACGACATCGACCCCAAGAAGTCGTTCCCGCTCAAGACGGCCGCCAAAATGCTCGCGAAATCTCTTGGGACCCTCGTCTTGCTCAACGTAGAGTCAGTGGCCCGCTTTGGCAAGATTGCGGAGTTTGTCGAGAAGATACGGGCGAAGAGCCAGCTCGAGGATTATGGCATGCACACCATCCAACGGCTACTACAGAGCGGTCTCAGCACGAAAGAAGTTGTATGGGGACAGCTGTTGCCGACGGCGAGTAGCATGGTAGCGAATCAGAGCCAGCTGTTCTCCCAAGTTTTGGATTACTACCTCACAGAAGGCATCGAGCACTTGCCCAAGATGCAAGAGCTCGCAGAGCACGAGACAGACGAGAGTGAGGACCTGTTGCTGCACTAGTAAGTCACTGCCCCTGAACACCCCCTCACCGTACCTCCCAGCTAACAGACCCAGTTTCATGGAAGGCGCCCGCCTCCGCCACACCGCTGGTCTCTTCCGTGAGGCTGCGGTTGACATGACAGTCCAGGATCACGACCGCAGCGTCTACATCCCCCAGCACCACCGCATCCTCGCCAATATCGTGCGCGCGTCGCGCGACCCAGTTGCTTTCCCCGATCCGCTCAAGGTAGATGTCACACGCCCGCTGGACAGCTATATCCACTATGGCCATGGACCCCACGAGTGCGCCGGCGTCGACGCGAGCAAGGTCGCGATGACGACAATGTTCAGGGCCGTGCTGAGGCTGAAGGGTTTGAGGCTTGATCCAGCGAACCGGGAAGGGGTGAGAAAGGTGTCTGCAGAGCACGGGTATACTGTTTATTTGAAGCCAGATTGGAGTGATATCTGGCCTATTCCAACGAGTCTGAAGATTAGATGGGATGGACCTGCGTTGGTGTAACTTGCGAGTGGAGATAGGGGATACTCAGGAGGTGGTTCACTGAGATTGGATTTGCCGCTATTTATGTTTTCATGTCTTTTCAAAATTTACGGACTATGAATACAAGCAAGATTTGATTATGTAAATCTAGTTTGCATCGTGGATCGTATAATCGTTACAACTGGTATAGTACAATACACACGAGCATATGGCCGTTATCCATCCCTTTAACTCCGTTTCTTCCCAGGCCTGTCATTGAGAGTCGTACATCTACAAGAACAAATTGCCAACCTATATATACCCAGTCTTGTGATAAAATACCAACCTGGGATGAGAGCCGCATTAATCCCGACTGCGGTTGCTCAGCCATCTCTTTAACACCACCTCTCTGACAGTATACCTGGCCAGCACTTCATCGACTCGCATGCCCTCCTCATTGACAGGTGGAGGAACATCAACATAAACCAGTACCAGTGTCTTCTTCACCTGTCCATTCACGCGATTCACACAGTGCAGCCAATTCCACTTTTTGCTCTGCCTCTTTTGCACGTCTTTCGCGATCGCATCGTCGCTGGACCAGTAAGGATGGCTATATGTCGGTAGGATCAGCACCGCAAACTCAGCGTGTGAGAAGACAGGGCCGCGACTGTATAGCAAGTAGTCGACACCAAATTTCGTGCCGCCGCGCACGCACCAGCCGAGACTGCGGAAGTGGTGGTAAACGACATATGAAATGATAAACAGATCATCTGGTCGGGTATGGGGTGTGGCCGATACAGGGAAGGAAGAGGTTTGGCGGAAGAGCGGCAGAAGGTCTTGAGGAGGGATTGGCAGGTTGCTGTGCGCGTCTTGGATCGACAGGACACCTAGGCCATATGAGAGAAAGAAGGCTTCTTCCATTGTGAGTTGGATGTGTTCCTGATTGTGAAGTCCGACGAGTGTGACGTCTGCTTCAGTGATTTTTGGTGGAGTTGGCGGTTTAGGTTTGGAGAAGTCGGCATTGATGGGATCCGATGGCAGGAATGTGGTTTGCTCAATGGTGGGCGAAAATCGAACACTCTTCTTGCGGTTCAGAGGTTTAGGCCGGTTTAAAGTCTCTTCAGTTGATACATCGCTATTTGTCGATGTATAGGTCTGGGTGTCACCCGAAATCTTTGCGGAAACCGGTTTGTAGAGTGGGCGGAGTAGCAGGTCAACTTCAGTGGCGGGAGGGCTTTCATATCCCGGTGATACCACATGCCCATTCGGAATTGTTGTTTTGTCTTGCCCCACTGTGGTCACCGACTGTTCGACGGCAGGACTTGTATGGTTGGCCACAGATGTTGGACCAATGCAAAGGTCTAGGTCGCATTGCGAGTTTGATAGACGCAGCAATTCTCCTGGCCCAACAGGTGGAACGAATGCCTTCCTGATCGATTGGGGTTTGTTATCATCGGCTGCTTCGTTCGCCCGTTCACTTCCAGGGCTTGTAGTGTTGGCCACGGCAGATGTCGGACCATTGACAAGGTGTACGTCGTATCGAGAGTTTGGTAGACGCAGCAATTCTTCTGGTCCAACAGGTGAAAGGAATGTTTTCCTGGTTGGCTGGTCTTTGTTGTCCCTGAGGGCCGCGTCTGACAGAATTCCAAGCTCCTGCTCCTCTCGCAGCTTCTGATCTATAGCCTCGCGACCGACTCTTGCCCTCTCCCACTTAGCCTGTTGTCTCTCTGCACGCCTCTGCCTCGTCACTTCTTCGCTCGTCTTGGAGGCGTTGGCACCAACCCGGCGCTTCTCACGGTCAAGCCAACTGGGTTCACTCCGACTCAAGCTGCCTTTGCCGAAGAACCCTTCCCGCCAAAGAGCATGGGCAGATCTTTCATCCGTGACATGAATCGAGCGAAGCTCCGGTGAGAACACCCCTTGGTATAGAGCCTGAGGATGTGACGAGGGGGGACTGATAGTTTGTTGGAGCCATGTGTACAAGATTTGGACCAGGGAGATCGGATTATGTGGAACAAAGGTTGGGAGAGGGAAGGTTCGTAATGGCGTAGGGTAGGAATATAGCTTATTTATCTGTTGTGACCTGGTAGGCCCACGAGGTCTGCCATTACCACCCGTCCCGTTCTTAGGAGAAGCTATATCCACGGTCGCATTTGACCCTGTGGAGGTTCCATTGACATTCGTCTCAGGCTTGATTGGATCACCATTGACGGCAACGTCTGGTTTGGAAGATGCTTCATTTATTAACTCTTTTGGTTTGAATTGTACGCCATTGACGGCTGTGACTACTTGGGTTGTGTCTTCCATGACGGAGACCTAGATTTTCATTGATGCATCATCTGCCTGAGAGTACTGGTCAGCATCTCCCTCTTTCATCGTTGTTGTTGCGACCAAGTCAATGGGATATTCTTGCTCAGATACCGTTGTAGTCTTCTCAGAGAGAATTGAGCCAACAGAGAAGAACGACAATCAAAGTTAAGTCGGTTTCTAGGCCACGGAATGTGTCATCACCGCAAGAAGAGGAGCTGCATGGAAGCTCCAAATGGACATGTTTTGAAAGAGAACAAGACTTACGTATTACCACATTTCGTACAGCTTCCAAAGTGAAGCTGTGGTAAGGGAAAAAGAAAGATGGAGAGAAGGTAGAGGAAATATTAGAGATTGTTGTTTTGAGGAAGTTGTGAGAGAGTAGAAGTGAAGAGAAGAAGTGAGGAATTTGTTTTTCGTCTAACACAATCGAGTACGTATGGTAGGTAACTTGCTAAATCCCGCCCCACTCCACCACTAATCCTCCCCAAAAATTACTGACGAAGCCAACCGGAAGGCCGGCCACAACGTTGCTCTAAATTGAACGGGTAGCTCATCTGTACATCCCTAATTTGGGGATTCCGGACGGGAAAAAACCATGAACCATATACAACAACCATAGAAGTGAGAAGAGAAGAAGAAGAGGTGAAGAAGAGACGACGCTGCATGACGAGCTTGGTGAATTCAGCAGTGAACCCAGTCGTGGGAGACGGAGACGGGACTATGCAGCATGAATCGACCTCTACATTTGTGATTTGGATTGCTGGGGCGTGCGCGGCATGGTGCTCCTTTATCCTGCTCGTCCAGCTTATCGGCTTCACTCAACTGTGAGCCAGCTTCCCCTTTGAATGTCTAATTGATGTTGTAGAAAGCTTATTTTTTTATAGTTACCGCCGCTACTCCACAATCCCAACTCCAGCTGCATCCCTCGACCTCCCCGAAGATGAAATTCCTCACGTCACAATTCTTCGTCCTGTAAAAGGACTTGAGCCACAGCTATACGAATGCTTGGCAGCTACATTCAAGCAGACATATCCTCGAGATAAGCTGACGATATACCTGTGCGTGGCTTCACGTAGCGATCCAGCACACGCGACACTTCAGAGGCTCATCACCGACTTCCCTGGGTTCGACGCGAAGGTCTTTGTCGAAGAAGATGACCCAAACCTCAGCGGGGATGTTGGGCAGGAGAACAACTTGGGACCAAACCCAAAGATCAGAAACATGAGCCGCGGGTACAGGGAAGCCAAGGGTGATATTTTGTGGGTAATGGACTGCAACGTCTGGGTCGGAAAGGGTGTCACTGGGCGGATGGTAGACAAGCTTTGCGGATTTGCACCAGGGGGTCGGCGCCTTACGCCTTATAAACTTGTACATCAGCTACCGCTTGTCGTGGACAGCGTTGGCGCAAGCAAAGGCGAAGAGGCTCGCGGGCTTCTGACCGACGAAACCAACGTAGATAGCACAAACATCCTCCCCACGCGAAACGGCGGACTTTTCAGCTGGGGTGGGGGTCGCCTGGAAGAAATCTTCATGGCCGGCTCACATGCCAAATTCTACACAGCTATCAATACCGTGGCCGTTGCGCCTTGTATAGTAGGAAAGTCCAATATGTTCCGTCGTTCTCATCTCGACAGCCTCACCTCGGCCGCAACATCGCCCTATGCACCAGGTATCGACTTCTTTTCCAACAACATCTGCGAGGACCACCTTATAGGCGATCTTCTATGGCGCAACGCTGTGCCTGGGCAAGCCAATGGCGAGAAATGGAGAAATCACGGGCTGGTGTTTGGAGATGTTGCTATCCAGCCAATGGCGTCTACAAGCGTCGCGGACTACATCGCCAGGCGAGTACGATGGCTCAGGGTTCGGAAATGGACTGTTATACTCGCGACACTCGTAGAACCGGGCGTTGAGAGTATCCTCTGCTCAGCATACGCTGCGTTTGCCATGACTACCCTGCCACCGCTTCGGGAGGCCCTGGGACTGCCAAGCTCGTGGACAGCATTCTTCATCGTCTGGTTAATGTACATCACCGTCTGGATGGGTGTTGATCGACTCACGTACAACAAGCTGCACTCTGTTGCATCGGTAGAACTGGACGGAGATACTCCAAGTTTTGCCCGGCCGCCGCAAGGACCAAGGAGGCGTTTCGGGGAATGGCTTGAGGCGTGGCTTGGGAGAGAGGTGCTTGCTTTACCTATTTGGGTCTTTGCTGTCCTGGGGGGGACAACGGTGAAATGGCGTAATAAGACCTTTTGGGTGGGCATGGACATGAAAGTGTATAAATATGATGGGGATGAGTCGAATGATGAGGCTGTGCCTGGAGGAGTCACAGGTAAGGCAAGGAGTGACTAAAATAGATGAGATTATTGACTACAAAGTCAAAACGATAGTAATGAGAGGTGAGATAAGCTTAATGAAAAAGATAAAAGGGTTGTATTTGACTCCCTGGTTTATGGGTTTGCTTTGTGCACGCCAGACTGAGATTAATCACAATTAAATACCAAAATACAAGAGAATACATGACGCGGCACGATATCAAGCGGATCATCACAACAAAGAAGCTGAAATAGCCTAATACATCCCATTTCCACTAGCAATATATACAACCCAAGTCTATTGTCGTCGATCTATCTTTGCTCAAAGGCACCATCAGTAACGCGCTGGTTCAGGTTCACCTCTGCGGCGTTTCCCTGTGGAATCAAAGGGTATGGCGTAGAAGAGAGGGACTCCAGGTATGTGCGGTGGTGTTCGCTGGCCTGCAAATGATGGTTAGAACCCGCTTCATTGGGATTTGGGATGAGAATTCGTACAAATGGCAGACCGCAGTATGTGCAGGTGCTGATCTCCGGCTTGTCAAGGTTGATGAAGACCCTGGGGTGGCCCAATGGTCCTCCACCACCGTCGCATTCGACTGTCCTCCCGTGGACCCAGCGAACTGGTTGCTGGTGGATGAGCTCGATAGCTGCTGCTGGTGCAGGCTGCGGGACATTAGCATCTGAGTCTCACAATAAATCCCAATCCCAATCCCATCTACACCCATCTCCCATTATATCGCAAATTTGTAGCGCGTCCCTCTCTACACCTTTTCCTGCACCTCATGGGGTATATGCTCACCTGCAACTCGACAATCGTCTGCTCAAATCTTGGCCCGGACATAGCGGCTTCCCTCGTCTTCTGGCTCCTCGACCAAGTAGTCGCCCTGTTCGGCTCTTGCATGGTCCTTAATCTCTGTGCATTTTCAATGTTCTCATGCACTAGCACATCATCCTCTTGCTGCTTCCCTTGAGGTAATTCATTTGTCTTCGAAACGTTCGGCACGGATGCGGATGATGCCCTGCTAGAGATTGACAGGGCGCGGAAAGAGTTTATCGGGGCCGACGCGCGCGCAGGGCGTGCCAGGAGTAGCGCTGCACGTCTATTGGCGGTTGAGAGCATCTTGAGGTGGTGGTGAAATGCAATTGAGCAAAGCGTTCTGGTGGATGAGGTGAAGTTGGAACCTTGAAGTTCGGAGATATCCGCTTACATAAGCACATTATCGGATCATCGCAAGGCTGGAAATTATTTTGACGAAGAAAAGAGTTGCTTTGTAAACTAAGTTCACAATCGTATCACATTGATTTTTATCATTTGGAAATCACAGTTAAGCTACGATGTCAGGGTCACCAACCATGGCAGGCAAGCCGCCGAAAGCCATGTCCTCCCGCCTCTTGACGATGAAGTTTATGCAACGCGCCGCTGCTTCGTCCCCCCTCTCCTCGCCATCGACACCCGACCAGCCCTCTGCCAAACGACAAAAAACCAGGCCTGATGATTCTCCCTTGGCTGGTTTCGATGTAAATGCCCTAGCCAACCAGAAGGCTATTGAGACTGCCCTTGCGAGCGAGGAGGCAAAACGTCAAATTGCGCTCGATAAACAGGCATCCGAAGCTGGCGATACACGATGGGTGTTAAATTTCGAACAAAATGGCTCGGAGACAGGGCAAGTACGGGGAAATATGAAGATACAGCAGGCCAGTTTTTCGGCAATTGACAGAGACTCCGCGGCAACACCGAGGGTAATCTACCAGGCGGAGGAGACCTCGGATAATGCTATATTTGCAGGACGAAGGAGTTTTGGGAAGTTCAACCGGAAGCTAGAGGTATGAGGCATTTGTCTATCTCATTTGGGAGATAGCCGAACCCACTGTGCACTACTAATGAAAACCAGAAACTACAAGATCCAGAAGGAGACGACTCGTCGGATTCAGACTCGGATAATGATAGCGGGGAGCAGGAAGATGCCGGGAATATCAATAGTGACAACGACGACCCCACGAGCCAACTGATGAAGACTGCTCGAGACGAAGCCGCGAAAAAGCTGAAGGCTGAGCGGAAATCCAAACGAAAGGCAGAAAAGGCCGAACTGCTCCGCCTGGCCGAGAAGCGAAAGAAGAAGAACGTGAAACTGAACAACTTGACATCTATATCGGGGGGCAGCAGTGGCGCATCAAAGGGGACCTGCTACAAGTTTGGGGAGACTGGACATTTCCTGGCAGACAGCTCAAAGGGGAAGAAGAGGGGGCGGACAGACGACGACGGAGATCGCCCGAGGTCCTCAAACAAATCAAGGATGTCTGGTTGATCAGATACCCAAAGTAACTGCCGCCATTTTCAGCAATGGCCCGAGATATCTTCCCGCTTAAACAAGGTTCGGCGGACCGGCTGCTGCCAGCAACATATATCCATGCTATATTATCACAATGGCTGGCGATATTGAGAGCCCACTCTGTTGACCCAATTGACGAAGGACATTCATTGATTACCGAAAAGATTTCGATTGTCTGCCAGTCGCGGTAAAATCACATGCGGCAATGTGGAGTCGTTGGCCGCTATAGCCTCGATATACAGACACTATTGACACGGCCTGCAAGCCTCTTGTTGCAAGGTGGCAGGAGGGAGATGAGACAGCGGAAGGGTGGCTAAGGTTGGCCGCATGGGGTTTCGGTTTGGAAACGAAACAATTTCTACGCACACATGTAGATTGACGTTTAGGGCTGAGGGATGGGAAGGCGATACGTGATAAACCCCTGACTATAAATACTAGGGTTGTCATGCGGGTTGTTCCTGGAGGGTAAATTAGCACCACTTTATCCGCATAATGATGGGCCTTTCTAGAAGGCCGTTTGCCTGACATCCGACCCAGCCGATGCAGTCAGGGCTGTCGTGGGTTAGGTATATCGCGCCGTCCCGGTTAATGGTAGCCTCCTTGGACGACATGCATCATTTTGCTATGTGGAATGCATATACTGCCTGGAATTCTGGTTATTGCGAGGCTGAATGAATTGTGACTATGCATACTAACGCACATGAAAGTTGTATGGGAGATGGAAGAATTTGTTTCCATCCTGTAACAGGAGCCACTAAGCTACTCAATTGCCCGAAACTTAATTGAGAGACCGTCTGTACTCCGTATGGCTTGCGAATGTGCACTCTGTTCTACCCGCGTAGCTGGCCTTTTCGGCGATCAACTTGTATTACGTGTCCATGAGTTCTTTTTCTTGATAAGAGGCTTAATATATGGCGTGGCGCTATAATAGAGAATGGTAGAGCTCTGATATAAACTTTGCGTGCCCTTGAAAGAGACAGAGCAACCCCTATCGCTCGTGCCTGACCAGAACCGATCGACATAAAAAATTGGAAGAGTGAGAAGAAGGAGGTGAGAGACCCGGAGGGAGAGTGAACTGCATGCGCCACCATTCATATATATCTCATGGGCGCCCATATCTCATTCTGTACAGGGGGGGTTGGCAGCATCTTCTCTCCGGATCTCACCACCACGGTATCATGCCGCGCGCTCCGAGATGCATGCTAACCGCGAGACATGAACACCTACCAAGCAAGCTGTGGCTTCGTTGGCATGTCGTCTCACCTTCCTATCTCTCATCCTGGCAAATGACAGCGGTGACATCACGGCAAGGAGTAAGACGGGCCTTCCTCTTGCGGCCGCAATATTTGATTAAATGGGACCAAGACAAGAAAGCAGGAGCAGGAGCAGGAGCAGGAGCAGGAGCAGGAGCAGGAGCAGGAGCAGGAGCAGGAGCAGGAGCAGGAGCAGGAGCAGGAGCAGGAGCAGGAGCAGGAGCAGGAGCAGGAGCAGGAGCAGGAGCAGGAGCAGGAGCAGGAGCAGGAGCAGGAGCAGGAGCAGGAGCAGGAGCAGGAGCAGGAGCAGGAGCAGGAGCAGGAGCAGGAGCAGGAGCAGGAGCAGGAGCAGGAGCAGGAGCAGGAGCAGGAGCAGGAGCAGGAGCAGGAGCAGGAGCAGGAGCAGGAGCAGGAGCAGGAGCAGGAGCAGGAGCAGGAGCAGGAGCAGGAGCAGGAGCAGGAGCAGGAGCAGGAGCAGGAGCAGGAGCAGGAGCAGGAGCAGGAGCAGGAGCAGGAGCAGGAGCAGGAGCAGGAGCAGGAGCAGGAGCAGGAGCAGGAGCAGGAGCAGGAGCAGGAGCAGGAGCAGGAGCAGGAGCAGGAGCAGGAGCAGGAGCAGGAGCCCAGGGACGGGCACTGTACATATGTTACCTACATATCTCCATATATCTCCATACATATCTGTTGTCTGCACATCTGCATATGTGCATATATATGCATGCATCCTTACCCACAGAGATATACTGTGGTGATACCTGCATAATCACCACTGCTAGTATGGCGTCAAATGTATATACCTTGAGCTCTCCACTGCACTACTGTACCACTGACTAGCTACAGGAGTAAGCACCTATATGCGCTGGTCTATGTGCATCTCCATCTCCATCTCCATCCATATCCTTCTATTTTCCCCTCTTCCTTGCCGAATATTGTCCTCTGACAACGTGCGAGAAATAGACCGAAAGGAGACAGGAGACGGAGATCAGGATAGGACACAGGACACAGGACACAGGACACAGGACACACACAGGACACAGGACACAGGACACAGGACACAGGACACAGGACACAGGACACAGGACACAGGACACAGGACACAGGACACAGGACACAGGACACAGGACACAGGACACAGGACACAGGACACAGGACACAGGACACAGGACACAGGACACAGGACACAGGACACAGGACACAGGACACAGGACACAGGACACAGGACACAGGACACAGGACACAGGACACAGGACACAGGACACAGGACACAGGACACAGGACACAGGACACAGGACACAGGCAGGGAGGGCATTGACGCGCGAGATCTCTTACGGGGATATTCATATGAAATCATATGAAATCCGCAATCCTTTAGTGGACAGGACACAGACAGGGAGGGCATTGACGCGCGAGATCAATCATATGAAATCCGCAATCCTTTAGACAGGTCTGTCATAACTTGACCCGGCACATGAGAGTCAGAAGACTGCCGCCGAGTGGAAGCTTACAGCCAACGTCAACACCAACACAAGTACCAACACCACCGCCGCAATTGCGTTCCACCACTTTCCATGCAACGGCGTCTATAAGACCCGCACGACGCGCCCTGTCCAACCCCTTCTACCTGCAGCAAACCTCTTCCTCTTCCTCCTCCTCTTCCTCCTCCTCTTCCTCCTGCTCCTTGTCCTCTTTGTCGTCTTCTTCTGCAAGCCTAGCAAGCTCTCATAGTCGCCATCGACACACTTTCGCTATTGCCCTCCTGCCGTGTCCCTCTGCACTCTCCATCCCAGCATCTCCATCTCCTGTGTCGTTGCCGCCGTCGTTGCCTCATCAAGTCGTCGTCGTCTCGCACAGACCTCGGTGGTGCTTCCAGCCTGGCCAGTTTCCCTAGCCTCCGCCAGCACCAGTGTTCATAGTGCTCCGCTAACAGCCGCCCCGCCTCAACCTCACCTCGCCCACCCGCAGCTCCCAAAACCAGAGCTTACACGCTCTTTGCTAATAAAACATCATCTACGAACTTCCTCCCGGCCTTCACTTTACCACCGACCCTTCGACGCGCCCACTCCACCGCAGCAGCCATGCCGACCCCCTCTCAGCCTCAGACGCCCACCACCCTGAACAGCCCACTTCGTGAGCACAGACAGAGGACCGTGGAAAGAGTGACAGACAAGCTCGAAACCCCATCTCTCGACGATCGCCAGTATCGTGTCATAAAAATTGCCTCGAATCAGCTCGAGGTGCTGCTCGTTCACGATGCCGACACCGACAAGGCCAGTGCTGCCATGGATGTCAATGTAGGGAACTTCAGTGACCCCGAGGACACGCCGGGGATGGGGCATGCCGTCGAGCATTTATTATTCATGGGCACAAAAAAGGTCTGTACCCTCCCAGCTCCCAGAAATATGTTTACAAAGGTACCTGTGCTGATTGATTGTAGTACCCCGTGGAAAACGCATACTCACAGTACCTCTCGGCACACTCTGGAAGCTCCAATGCCTACACTGCCGCCACATCCACGAATTATTACTTTGAAGTCGCCGCCAAGGCAGCCGAGTCCGCCGAGGAGACCGATCGGTCGCCATTATATGGAGCCCTGGATAGATTTGCGCAATTCTTTATCGAGCCACTCTTCCTCCCCTCCACCCTCGACCGAGAGCTGCGCGCTGTAGACTCCGAGAATAAGAAGAACTTGCAAAGCGACCAATGGCGGCTACACCAGCTCGACAAGTCGCTTTCCAACCCAAAGCATCCCTACTGCCATTTTTCCACAGGAAGCCTGGAGACTCTTAAGATCCAACCAGAAGCAAAAGGAATCGATGTCCGACAGGAGTTCATAAATTTCCACGACAAACACTACTCTGCAAACCGAATGAAGCTGGTTATCTTGGGAAGAGAGCCATTGGATGTCCTAGAGGAATGGGCCGTAGACCTGTTCGCAGGAGTGAAGAACAAAGACCTCGAGCAGAACCGATGGGAGGACGAGCAGCCACTGGGCAAAGACGAACTGTTGACTCAGATCTTCGCAAAGCCAGTAATGGACTCCCGACTCCTTGAGCTCACATTCCCATTCTTGAATGAGGAAGACTTATACGAGTCCCAACCCAGCCGATATATCAGCCATCTGATCGGCCACGAGGGCCCTGGAAGCATAATGTCGTACATTAAGGGCAAGGGATGGGCCAATGGCCTTAGCGCCGGTGGATATGCAGTGTGCCCAGGCTCGCTGGGTCTGTTCAACTGCCAAATCAGACTCACCGAAGAGGGACTAAAGAACTACAAGGAGGTTGTCAAGGTTTTCTTCCAGTACATCTCTTTGTTGAATGAGAGCCCGCCCCAGGAATGGATATTCGAGGAGCAGAAAGGCTTAGCCGAGGTTGATTTCAAGTTCAAGCAGAAGTCTCCTGCAAGCAAGTTCACAAGCAAGATTTCTGCCGTCATGCAATTGCCATTGCCCAGAGAGTGGTTGCTCAGCGGGCACAGCAGGCTGAGAAAGTTTGACCCAAAGGCCATTGCGGCTGGGCTTGCATATCTCCGACCAGACAACTTCAGGATGTCTGTGGTCAGTCAGACGTTCCCGGGTGGCTGGGACAAGAAAGAGAAGTGGTACGAAACTGAATACAAGTACGAGAAGATTCCGCAAGAATTTATCGCGGAGATCAAGACTGCTGCATCCACCACCAAAGCTAGCAGGTTGTCTCAACTCCATTTGCCACACAAGAACCAGTTTATTCCGACAAACCTGGATGTCGAAAAGAAGGAAGTAAAAGAGCCTACAGGAACACCAACACTAATCAGAAACGACGACATGGTCCGTGCCTGGTTTAAGAAGGATGACACTTTCTGGGTTCCAAAGGCGAACCTGTTCATCCAGTGCAAGAACCCTCTGCCAAGTGCTACTGCTGAGAACACAATCAAGTCGAGGGTTTATGCTGAGCTGGTCAGGGATGCCCTGGAGGAATACGCATACGATGCCGAGCTTGCCGGTCTCGATTACAGTGTCTCTAGCTACTCCGGTGGACTCGATATTCAGATATCGGGATACAATGACAAGCTGCCGGTTCTCCTTGAGAAGGTTTTGTTGACGATGCGGGACCTTGAGGTCAAGCAGGATCGCTTTGCAATTGTTAAAGAAAGACTTCTCAGAGGCATGAGCAATTGGGATTACCAGCAACCTTACAACCAAGTGGGCGATTTCACGAGATGGCTCAATATCGAAAAGGGCTTCATCAGTGACCAATTGCTTACCGAATTGCCCCGTTTGGAGGCCGAGGATATCAAGCTTTACTTCCCCCAACTTCTGCGCCAGGTACACATCGAGACTCTTGTCCACGGTAACCTGTACAAGGAAGATGCCCTGAGGCTGACGAATATGGTGGAAACGACATTAAAGGCAAGGGCGCTTCCACAGCCTCAGTGGCCAGTATTTCGCTCGCTGGTCTTCCCTCCTGGCGCCAACTTTGTTTACCACAAGACCCTGAAGGACCCTGCCAACGTCAACCACTGCATCGAATACCTGCTTTACGTTGGCGACAAGGCTGATCGTCCCTTACGCGCCAAATGCCTGATGTTGGACCAGATAACCCACGAGCCGGCATTCGACCAGCTGCGAACAAAGGAGCAACTGGGATACGTAGTATTCAGCGGAGCTCGCACCACCTCTACGACGATCGGCTACCGCTTCATCGTCCAGAGTGAGCGCACCCCGGAATACCTCGAGGGCCGCATCGAATCTTTCCTCGCCAATTACCTGACAACACTAAAGAATATGTCTGACTCCGAATTCGAGGGCCATCAGCGCAGCTTGATCACCAAGCGTATGGAGAAGCTGAAGAATCTTGACCAAGAATCCAGCCGGCTGTGGACACATGTTGCTAGCGACTACTTCGATTTCGACCTTTGTAAGTTAACTGACATATATTCCATACCATCTCTAACACATCATAGCATACGAGGACGCAGCCCACGTCAAGGCCCTTACCAAGAAAGACATGATTGAATTCTACGAGCACTACATTTCACCATCGTCGCCATCCAGGGCCAAGCTCGCCGTGCACCTTCGGGCCCAAGGCATGAGCAAGAAGTCTTCCACTGCTGGCATTGAAGACGACGTCAAAGGACTGAAGCTCATATCTGAGAACAAGACAGTGCAAGAAACCCCTGTGCAAGGAAACGGCACCAAGCCGTGGGCTATCGAGGATGTGCGAGCATTCAAGTCCAAGCTCGGCGTTACACCTGGCCCACAGCCTGTTCGTGACCTGAGCGAATTTGAAGAGACGGACTCAAAGTTGTAAGATGGACCTAGAAAGGGGGGAAGGCAACGAAATACACTTCACGATGGATATGACGACATGGGCATCAAGATGGTGATGCATAAAGGGCATGATACCCGGCATGGCATGGAGCTTGGAATGTGTGCATTTGCAAAGACAGAGATAGATTATTATCAGTTACTAAACCAGGTTTGGGATTCTTTGGGACGCGTTGGCCGAAGGGGACAGGCTGGTCTCGGGCACACAATCATCAGGGATGGGCAGCATGTATTTGCTTGTGAAAGGATTGATAGAAGTATGTAAAAGAAAGATAGAACCATTTATAGTGAATGGAAGCTTTTTTAGAAAGGTGCAGCTTGAACTGTACATATATGGTCTGTACCAGTATGGGAAATAAGCTACCATGTGCGTGGATTTAAAACTACACGATACTCTCACCTCAGATCAGGTTCCCAAGTCTCGATCCCATGTAGCCGAGCAATAAAGATAAATAACAATGAGCCCGGTGTCAATAGCCTCAGTCCTTCGTGTCACCCCATCCCATCAATGCAACCCCAATGGCGAGGAGAGCCAACCTTGCCTCTCCAAAATACCCTTCAAAACCCTCGGTCTGAATTTGACCTTCTATCACCAACCCGAGGTATCATTTGAGTTGTTCTTCGTGCTCTGCGCAGCGGTTTTGTCTCCCCACGACTCTTGCTTAGCAGGCTCACCCCACGAACCTGCCGAAAACTCAGTGCCAGTTGCATCGGGGAAGATTCGTTGCGATGTCCCGTTTTGGTTTGGACGATCCTTGTACCCTGGCCACCTGGAGTTGCTCGAAGAGCCGTTATTGTTATGATTGGAGTTGTCTGGGCCAGTGCCCCAGTTGTCGTCTCCTGAAGATGTATTGTTGTTATTCGTGCCCCAGTTATCATCTCCTGGCGATGCATTGTTGTTGTTCGGATTTGAGCCCCAGTTATCATTTCCAGACGATGGATTGCTTTTGTTCTGATTTGAGCCCCAGTTATCATTTCCAGAGGAGTTATTATTATCTGTGCCCCAGGTGTCACCTTGGCCACCGTTGTCAGGAGAATTGTTATTCGCATCGTTGTTTCCAGTCCCCCAGCCATCGTCGTTCGAGTTCTTATTCGCATTGTTATCGGCGGTATTCCACCCAGAATTGCCGTTCTGATCACCGTCGTTGCTGAATGAACCTGGCATGGGTTTAGAACCACCTGTTTCTGAGGATGAGCCGCTGTTATCTCCATCTGGTCCTGTCTTACCTCGGGAATTGTTACTCTGGCGATTAGACCTGTTGCCACTGTTGTTGTTAGAACCTTCTAAAACAAGACAAGGAGAGCTGGACACCCATACCTTGAATTGTAATTATTTTCTGAATTACCACTGTTTTGCATACCCTGGTCGCCTCCACCTCCTCGCTGGTTCACATTGAACGGCCACCTGCCACTCATCCCTCCTATCATGCCAGCCCAAGGGTTTGCCCAAGCACTTGGTGGCGGTGCGGGTGTTCCGATAGGAACATGCTGTGCCTGCAATGGAACCAACGAGGCGCCAGGGTTTCCATACATTGGTCCATGGTAAACTCGGAGCATCCCAGTCCTGGCGTCAAAGAAAGCATTCGGTCGAGGATCAGACGCGTTTTCGAGGACGTCCTCACGTATTATAACCTCTGCTCTCGAGGGTAAGATGAGACGCGACATGTTTTTGGTGATGAAAGAACTTAGGTTTTGTAAAGTGCGTCGTTGCTCAGGAGTCTGAGGAGGTGAAGGTGTGGTTTGGGTTTGATAGACTGAAGTTTTGTTAATTTACAAATGTAGAATGTGAAATTACAGCTACGTGCGGGTCTCCCTTACCTGAATAATTGTTGTTTGAGGTGTCCTTCATCCCTTTAGGTGAATTTGACGTGCTTTTGGACTCGCCCCAATTATCTACTTCCTTCTTCCCACCTTTAGGCGCGCATTTCTTGCTACTCCCATAAACTTTTCCATTCTTCCCAACTCTATGTCTCTCATTGCAGTGAGCAGATGGCGTGCAGGCAGAACAGCATATATGCTCTTCCGCATCCACCTTCCTGCTATGCTTCAAAATACCCTTAGGTTGCTTGAAGCGAACTCTCTTAGACGGTGAGTCTGTCGACGCCTCAGAGCGATCATCGCAACCGGAACAGCTGCAGCTTGTCGGACAGCAGCCAGAATTGTTTCTTGCACCCATAGAGTGGTGCTGGACTGTATTTGATTGAGGGGACTCCAGCGATCTCCGTCTTCTCTGGCGAGGAAGAGTTGCACCAGCAATCCATTCAACAACGGAGGCCTGGGGCATAGTACTGCATCAAAGAATCAATGAGACATGACCTGGTCGGCCAAGGCTTTGAGAGCCTCTGGTCGTAACGAAGGAATATAAATATTGTCGTCTAGGTCTCTGTATAGGTCGCAGCGTCTTTGCATGAGTTTTAAGAGGTCACAGTGGCATAGATGTTTGAATACTGTCAATGAGGAGGGGGCATAATAACTAGACGAAGTCGATGAAGAGAGTCAAATATAGAATGATATTTATGTGGTATTGGACTTCGATGAATCACGTTGGTGACGCTATGGGAGTGAGCTTGAGTTTTTGACGATAAGTGACTACAGTTGAAGTTGTGTCAGCGAGGTTCACGCGAGGCGGGAAGCGGGAAGCGGACAAAGACCTGGCAAACCACAAACGATGCACGCACCAAAGTGGCCAGACAATGAGAACGACCATCTTGGCAGATTAAGAGAAGTATTTCACATATGATATGATATTCTTGGCGTATAATGTAGAGCGAGGACTGCAAAATGGGCCTTCGGTCGCATCAAACCTTTCCAAGAGAATATTACAGAAAATAGATCCGAAACCAGTTAAGTTTGTAAAAGAAGCGCCACATACAATTATAATTTTGCTTTGCTCTCCAGCTCAGCTTGCCTCCAGTCCTTGTTGACCCTCATATTCCGGTAATATGTCCACAGCCCAGCCCAACCCGCCAGCGGAGGCACCAGTAGCAGCAGCCAAGTCCACCACTTCGGGCTCCCTTTCATGACGGTTGACATAACCCTTTCAATCTCCTTCTTGAGCTCTTCTCTGCCACCGTCATTCCACACCACGACCCCCCTGCCATCCCCTCTTGCCTCGCATCTCTTCGCCTTCTCTCTGATATCGCCCTGGCTCAGCACCCTGTTCTCTGCATCTTCGGCCGTTAGGTGGGCATCCCGGTCTCGAAGCCTCCTCATCTGTATCGCCGGATCTCCCACCGCAACAACCATGACAGTCCCGCAAAGCGTGTCCAGCCCGCTCTCAAACAACAGCGGCACATCCAGGACGACCGCCCAGCAGCCTCTTAGATAACACCTCAGCAGCTGTCGGTACATTTCCATACGGACCGCAGGATGCACGATCCCGTTCAGCACAGCCCGATCCTTCTTCCGCTCGTCTGTGTCCCCAAAGACTCGCCGCCCCAGGGCGGGACGATTCAGCGGTTGTCCTTTGCCATTGTCGGTTTTGGGGAGGAGGAGGTCTGGTGTGGTTGCGCCAAAGTGCGCAACAATCTTGTTGTAGCCTGCGGTACCGGGTTCGACGACTTCGCGCGCAATGACGTCCGCGTCAATGATGGGGAGTGAGTACGGTGGTGCGCGGAGGATGTTGGATACGGTAGACTTTCCCGTTGCGATCGAGCCTGTCAGACCGAGGAGCAGCATCTTGAGTCAGCGGCGGGGGAGATTGTGAGGTTTTGTTGGTGATGTTCAATTGAAAGGCATCCTCGTGATGGCTTAATCGTATTTAAAGTCCAAATGCCAGGAAGAATGTAAGTAGCTTGTCGTGCCCATATAACGTCTAAAAAGGGACAAGGGTAGCGCTGCCGCTACCATTACGTGGGGGGTCAGCCGAGGTAAACGCGGGGGGATCGGAGTATGTACTTTATACCGAAATATGGCTTAGTCAGCCAGAAACTAGAAACAAGGTTCGTCGATTTGAGAATCATAGATCAGACAACCAAAACCCTCGTTACATTATAACATCTCTACACAAAACAGTAATAAATAATCGTATGAATTAATAGTTTCAATACAAGAGGCAGTTATTAGAGCAATTTTAAAGCCTGGAATTTGGTTTCATATTAAATTATTTTAGGATAATGTTGCAGCGACGAGTATTTTATCCAAGCACGTATATTGCTACGCAGGCAGCATCCATCACAATCACATTGCATCAGAAGAATCGACTCAACAGGCACAAATTAATTGTCTTCGCCACCATCAAGCAAACTGTACCAGCTGAGTAGCCATTCTGGAGCTGACTGGCCGTTCCCATGTACTTCAGCACCATCTCCACCATGATAAGACCATAAAAGGCCACATCTTCCCACCCGCATAACCTTTCGCCAGAACCTTGAGCGAAACGCCAAACATAAGAAAGTGGAAATACAATGATAGCATTGAGGAGAACCCGAATTGAAAAAGCCACCACTGCGTGTAACCGGTCTTGGATATCGTGAAATACTTGGCGATCTGAGGCCGATTAGTTTCGGTGGTTTATTCTGAGGATTTGATAACATACAAGAAATTGTCTGCCTCTCGATCTAGCCAGATGGGAGACGCTTGGCAAAGAAGGTGCCGTCTGGGCGTTGATACCATCGCACCTCGCCAATGTCTTTGCTGTCAATTGTGTAACGGCTGCGACGAGTCCAGTTGCCATCTAATTCTTGAACCTCATACATGCGTGAGATGTCGGGATCAGCAGGGACCAGCTCCTGAGGACGCGTATCAGCCTTGTCTTTCATAGCAGCTATATGCTCAGCTTTGGTCGGACAATTCGTGACCCACTGCTGGCCGTTCCACATCGGCCCCTGCGGTGGGCAAAGAAATCTTTGCCCGCCTGGGTATTGAATGAACCCGCCAGTTTGAGTTGGTCCGAATCGACTTCCGTATTGCTGAAAAAAAATCAAAAGTTAGCTCTTGTTCGCTTTAGAGATGGACCGCGCAAGGATAAATAATGAAAGCACTTGCAATTCCGCCATGACCGCAGCCTTGGCCCTGGTGAAGATGACCGCCAGTGGCAACTGGCCCATTGTTGATAATGATTGGCCCTCCTTGGTTGCCCAGCTGCTGGACGCCATTCCCGCCCAGACATCCACATCCTCCAAGGGGAGGTCCACAATAGAGAGGTGGTGGAGATGTGACTCTGGTAGGCCAGGGAGGCCATACACAAGTAGGTCCTTTGACCTTGGTCTTGACACAGCCGCACCCGCAAGTGTGGGTAGAGCTGTTGAAGCAAGACATCCTTGAAGTAGGAGGAACAAATGTGTGAACCCAAGGGCCTCTGACTGTGCTTGGGATTTGAGGTTGGAAGTTCGCTGGGTTTGACATTGAGATGAAGGGAAGAAAGTTGAACTGAGGAAAGTGAAATTGTCGGGTGAATGTTAGGCTGCCTCGACGATATAGGCAGCTGCTTGTTTGAAAAGGGGTGCGATGGTGATGCTGAGGTTGTGTTCAATAGAGTGGTGGTACTTGAGGACGAATGACTCGAGTTGTTGTTTGTTGGTGTCTGTTGGGATGTTTGTGCAGGAGTAAGGTTGAGATCGGGTAGGAAGAGAGAAGATAAGTCAAAAGGCTCACAACTGACGTCAAAACAGGAAAAAATGGGAAATTGGGGCAGGTAGTGCTTCCGGCTGGTCTCGACGAGGCAAGAGCATTCGCGGGAGTAGAAGAGTAGTTAATTATAGATCGACAATGACGATGGTAGAGAAGGTAAACAGCAAGCGATTTATGCAGAAATTAACAGCATTGGAAGTGAAGTTTGAACACTTACGACGCGCGGAGGGGCAGCGATGGCCATTGTCATCTCTACTGGGCTGATATATCTCGGGCCCATGGTTGAGAGCGGCCGGCACTGATGAGGCTGACAGAACCGGCATGAGCATTGCTGACACACCGGGCATGCTGTGCTGTAATAACGGCCTCGATGGCGATATCGGCGCGTCGTATGGGTGTGCTTGTGGGTGATCTGGCACTTTTCGTGGCCCTTTTCGTCGTCCTCCACCTCGTACTCTGTGAATGGCCAGCACCAGTTGAAGCACATCTTGGACGAGGATTTTGAAGGGGGACGATCGGGTAAGAGAAGAAAGAAGTGGCGCCGAAGTGGGTTTGTGCTGATGAGGTGGAGAGTTGACAGGTGAGGAACTAACTACTGGGCGGGCAGCTTTGCCGTCGGTGAGAACTACAAACTTTGACTTGGACTTGGGGGAGCCAACTTCATACGGAACTCAGGATGGAATTACTGGAATAAAATTGATACCATGAATTATCGTCAGGCAGTAACACTAATCCAGTAAACTAACCCCAGACTATTGTGTGGTGAGTCTCAGATCTCATCCTTGTTGGCGTGAGTTTCTGAGGGCCACTTGGCTTACCAGAGAACATGACGAGGCGGCCAGCTTCAACATTAATATCAAGGCACAAAACAGTATCTCTTGGGATAATGTGCTCTTCCTCGGGATAACTTGATTATGGAAACATACATAGCCTGGCCGGGGCGGGGCGGTTGCCAGCATGGTTCGATTGCTGTTGTCATGTTTGCCATTTTGCGTTCGTCGTTCCCCGGGACATTATTGTGGCGCGCCATCAACCGATCACTTGATCGTATCCTGCGGCTTCAGCACAGTGGCGAGTTTGCTCGCCGTTCGTCGAATATGTTATGTCGTGGTACTTATCTGTATCTCCAGCGGGTTTTGTGCGTTGGTATATTCTCGGCGCTTATCATCGACGCGCATGTCGCACACACCTTGCTGAATTGGGAAGAGGGATCATACCCGCGTCTTTAAGCATAAATTAGTCGTTGGTAGGCCCCGCCGAAGCCCAGAAGCCGCCGGAGACGAGTCATTGAGACTGATGTGGCTGCACGGCTTCAAAGATACGAGGAACTCCTGCATCGCCACGGTATTAAGCCCGACGAGCTTGACGACCCCGTCATCACTGGGACCCCTGGCGTAACCAACGCCAGTGTCGATGGTGCCAACCGAAGTCATAGATCCGGTGTTGCTGGAAAGGATGGATTACCACTAGGCTGCGCACTGGGTACTCACGAGTCGAGTAGTAGAATTTTTACTCACCCAGCTGAGTTACTCACTCATGTCCCGAGTATTGTTGAATGAGGATTACTCACTTGCTGAGTACCTAGTATGGGTCTTGGCAACTCAGTTATATCACGTGTTTGATTAGCCATTACTTATGTTAAAAACGGGGTGCGACTTCATTGATCAAGACGCCATAACTCCAACTCCATTCCCATATTGTTGATGTCCTATTCCACACTATAACCTTTGGCCTTTAGGTACCAGGTTACCAGATGGTTGCCAGAACTCATCTGACCTTCATTCCTGGGTGAGAGACATTTCCATCGATTAAGCCCACAGCTTAAACATCATATCCTGCAAACGCCGAACCAATATCATACCCTTTGCCTGAATTGTCACTCTCTTCGCATGAATAGCGAGGAGGTTTGTCACTATAACTGTTAGTATGTCCCTGTCACTATGTTTAAACATCATACTCTCAAATTCTCGAATGAGGAAGCATTCAGCAGCTTCCTAAAGAGCTAGGATAGCAGATTGCTGGAAGCGAAGATTGGACTTGAAGTCTTCTGTGATTTCCCTAACAAGACGCTGGAATGGGAGCTAGTATCAAGTTGCTGTCTTCTGATATCGCGGAGAGCCTTGGTGCCTATATGTTTATTAGAGAGTTCTGGTAATCCTCTGGTAATCCTCTGGTAATCCTCTTACTAGACTTTGTGCAGCGCGTGGCCTTCTGAGCATGATTGTTGCTAGCTTGAGATGAGCAAACTGGAGCTTTTCTTGCTGTGCCCACAGCCTTTTCCTGTCCCTTTCCGCCAAGCCCAGAGCCAGCCCGTAATCCAAGTGGCATCCTTGGTGCTATGCTGCCAGTTGATCTCCTAGCAGTTTGCTTGGTACGAGTCATTTGCTAATATCAAGGTGAGTTAGTAAAGTAAACACAAGATAAAGAAGTAGATCAAAAGATATGTGTACTTACAGTGAGTTTGTAGAAAGAATATTGCAGAAGAAGAGTATAGTAAAGAGGTAGAGGTTGAAAGGTATGTGTTTTATATGAAGGTGCGCATTGTGGTGTTGTTTTTGGAACAGTAATTCTTTGTAGGTGAATATTCCTTCACAAATATTTTTGTTTGCAACTTTAAAATAACCACGACCTTAGAACCACCTTCCTTGGTTACTCTCCGATCTACACATTCTTCTTCCCTTTTGAGCCTTTACCTCTTCTCTAGGACTTCAACTAAGTTTATTATCTTGATTCTATAGCCAGAACTTCTGGAGATCTCTGCTAATCACGTGTTTAGTTAGTATGGCGAAACTCAAGGCACATGAAGAACTCTCCACTAATGCGAATACTATCAAAGCTCGCAACTGCGTCTCCAACCTTACTGAAGATGAGAAGGCTGTTCACTTAGCACTCAAGGCTGACCATGCTGATCTGAGCTACTACTTAAAGAAGTTATATAAGTCTGCAAAGTGTAAGGATGCCTCCTTACCTAGATACTCGAAGAACCCGCCTCAGAGCTGTTACGGTCACCACAAGCATGAAATCCGACTCGGTGTGGTTTTGGACCAGTAGAGGAGGACATAGCGAGTTACACTATAGTGGGGGACGGTAAGGGTGTAGGGTTCAGGGTCGATGCGGACCTGTTGCGGTGGAAGGTTCAGGGCTAGGGTTGGGATAACCGAGTCGGGCCCGTTTCGGGTACTTAAGGAAACAAACTTAACGGGGTTCCCCCTTCATCTTTTTTGTATCCTTCGTAGTAGACCTATAGGATAGCATCCTTTTAGCCTCCAACTCGCACTCTCATATGCTATTACTGTGAGCTGGGTGCCCTGTGTCATTACACAAAGTATATCGCTGCCTCTACTGAAGACAAGACACGTCTACAGAATGAATTGAAGGTTGAGCGTATTTGTGTTCGGTAAGTCCCTTCTGGTAATCTCTGGTAGCCTCAATCTAACTATAAACAGGACTGAGAAGGGTACCCATGCATCTTGCATTGCGAATCAGAAAGTCAAGAATATTAGCACCTCTTCTTCTCCACAAGCCCCACCATCTACTCCGCCCAAACAACTTCTGTCTGAGCTTGCTGCATTTGAGGGTATCTCAAGTATTCCAATCGATGACAATCATAACAGCGAATGGGAGGATACTGAGGTTGAAGACGATTTGGAGTTGGAGCTTATGTTACAGCGCGAGATATTTTAAATGACGAGGCTGTTCTACCAGATGAGCTTTCCGATGAAGAGATCACTAGCACCCAGGCTCTCTTAACTCAAGCGCACATTGATGTATGCTACCTCATAATCTGGTAATCTTCTGGTGATACTAATAGTTGATAGGCCCATGAAGAGTCCAATTTCCGCAAGTGGCAACATTTCTGGGATAGCTGTATCCACTCATATACGAGAAAGGCTGGAAAGCTGAGAAAGAAGCCTGAGCGTCTCTTTGAGTATATGCCGTGGATTGATGTAGAGGAAGGGTACGTCTCTGATCATCCTAGCAATCTTCTGGCAATACTAATTGTTTATTATAGCACTTTTCACGAGGTTATCCCACCACATAAATATTTCTGTTTGTACGAGCAGGCAGTTTAGAAAGTGGGCCTAATTACCAGGACCTGTGCAG